TTTCTAATGTGATGCCTGCCTTTGCACCAATCTGCCCCTGAGATTCAGATGGTCCCAATTCACTTAGTTTGGAGGAAAACTTTAAATCTTGGCTTTTACTCCAGGTTTAGTCTAAAATGATAGATGAATCCATCTTCTGGAAGGTGGAGTACCAGTATATATGATAGGTGCAATATGTTATCTGATGTGTTGGTAATCAAATTCTTTTGTTGATATAAGATTTTTTAAAAAATTAATAATATTTGGAGATTTTTATTTGATGTACACTAAACAAAGTTGCAGTTATACAAAGTTATGACTATATAAATCTTCTTAAATGATGTGTAGTATGATGGAGACTTTCTCAGATAAAATGCTCAGCATAATAGTCCTGCCAAAAGACACATAACATGTTCAATATAGGTTTGCAACTTTTTGAACTGAGAAAAATGCCAAATGTATTTTTTTAGATATATTGATTAAAAGCATGTATTTGCATGAATGTGTAGATGTGATTGTGTCAAACAATATGATTCAGGGAGCTGTGCTGAAGCCAGCACTTAATTATACATTATATTATATTTTGGAATATTAAGCAATAAACTTTACATGTGGACTATATAGCTTTCATGAAAATTTACATATACAAAATTCCTTTTTCATGTGTAGCAAAAGAATAACATAAAGCACAATAATGTTACAAAGAAACAAAAGAAGATGAACCAAAAATTAAAGTATGGAAAAAAATAAAGGAAAACATTTAACTTATCTTAAAGTTAAATTATGTTTAAACTCCAAATTGAAGTTATATGAATTTATATCTGGACAAGTGGCAAGCAATTTGTATTTATTACTTTGTTTTTTGGCATGTATGTGTCACTCCAATTCACCAACTTTGAAACTTTGGTTTATAATCTCCAAATACAAAATAGGATAAAAGCAATAGAAAGAAACTCAATACAGCTAATAACACCCAGCCCAGTGGATCTGCAAATTGGATAATCTTTCATCAAACCGCCCCAGAAGGGGTGTCTTTTTATAACTCTTCATAGGTAATCAAGAGGGAGTGGTCTAATATCTGGTGTAGGCTGTTCTAGAAGAGAAAGGCTATCATTGAAAATTTTTGACAAAGGGAGGCGGCACTGGAGGAAGGATTTTCAGCAAGCCTTTGCTTTGTAATCTCATCAGTTGAGCAAATTCAACCCAGAGCAGAGGGTTTCACAAATATCCATATCCTAAGCCAAATGGAGTTAATTCAACAAAATACTTCTTAAATATACTGGATCCCTCAGAAGATGTATAGTAAGGATGGTTTTTAATGTCTGTATGTTAGAATTATGTTTTGGGCCTGCTCTACAGTATCACTGTGTTGCTTTAAGGTTTATAAAATGGACTGCCATTTGTCAGAAATGGTGTAGGGTCTCCCGCTTGGGCAGGGGGTTGGACTAGATGACCTACAAGGACCCTTCCAATTCTGATTATCTGTTATCTGTTATTTGTTAAATAGAGTGCTCAGAAAAGAAATGAGTAAAAGATGTTGAATATGAATTACTGTACATTCTGAAACAAAATGGGGAGTTTGGATTTTTCATGCATGGGCAGAGTTTAAGAGTGGTGAAGGATTCTTGTGCATCCAACTTCAAATCCAAGATGGAAGATATTTCTACATTTTATACTGACTATGGGAAAATGAATAAATATGATTCTGCATAGTGAAGCTTTAATGTGTTGTTTGAACATTGAAACTGTATGATATTTATTGTAATTATTGTAATGTATTTATTAAGGTAAATATCTTTTATACCAGAGTAATGCAGAGTAGTTGTAGCCATTTTACCCATGGAAGCTCAGTGGGTGACTTAAGCCTAGTTTCTCTCAGCCTAACCTATCTGTCAAAATTTTGTTATAGTCATTGATAAAAATGGCAGGTGAGTTATCAATAAACCCCAGAGTAAAGTTTTTAACAAGGATTTTCCCCAATGGAAATATATATAGATATAGATATATATAGAGAGATTTGAAATATGTCTTATGTAATTGGCTGTAGTTTAGGGGAGGTCCTCAGAAGTATGAGGTAAGCAGCTGGCTTCAGATCCAAGCTGTGCGACTGACTGATGAAGGAACGTATCATTGCTACGCAAGAAACAGTGTTGGGCAAGTGGCAGCTCCTGCCAGTCTTATGGTCCTCACTCCTGGTAAGTAAAAACTATCCTTAAGTCATTCCTTTAGCCAACCTGTTTGTCTCAATAGTTGGTTTTCTCTTATGTCCACCAGTACCCATACATATCTTCTATATTCCCTAAGCTGATAATGTCTACCTAGCCATTAGTTCCTATTTTATATATCTTGTGAAAGCATAGAGATAGAATTTAGAAATATGGAAATATGGAAATCCCTCTCCAGTTTCATCAAGTAAATTATTTATGTTCCAAGCTCCATAAAATGCTGTTGCTATAAAAATATAAATATTGTTTTGTAAAGAAAGGGAGCTGTGTTTCTTCCTTGCATTTCAAACAGCACTTTATAAATGCATGGCATTGCCATCAAAATAGCAGCCTTTGTCCCATTGTTAGCAAAAGGATAGATGACTTCCTCCAGATGTTTTGGAGTTCAGCTACTATCAAATCCACTAGCTTGGTCACTACAAATTGTCTGAAACATCTACAATATGCTAATTGCCTGACAAATTGTTTGACAGTTACAACTATGCTGATAGATTGTAAAACTCATAGGCAGGACTCATTATCCAGTTTACATGACTTATTATACATTATTATTTGGAAATGTAATTATTTTAGCCAACAATTCTTAGCAGTAGATAAAGGTGGACAGTAACTCATTTCAGATAGTAACCATATGCTTTGTGTCCTATATTTGCAGATCAATTGAATTTAACCTCACTGGCTCTGCCCAAGGGACCCAACCTGGGATCAAATGATGACTGGGAGAGTGATGAATTGTATGATTATTACTGAGAAGGACATATATAGGATTCATAATGCAGGGTCATTTGTATTCTTTCCCATTTGAACATTTATTTCATCATCAATTGGTGCCCCAGTTCCCTAGAATAATAATGAATATGGAAACTCTAGGGTGAATTTAAAGAAGCCAAAGGAAATTTTTCTATGAAGAACTTTAGTATAAGTTAATTCTGGGTAAACAAAATCAATATACTTAATTGTATGACCAATCCCTGGATGACAAGTACATCAAAGTAGGTAGAAGAGAAGAAGTTATTGTATTTAACTGATACAAATCAAATGGACATTAAAAAGGACTTTGATTAGCTTCTGGGGGAGTATAATTTCATTGATTTGATGTATCACGCTCACAATTATCTTTTCTAAGTGTTCAGAGATTAGACTACATTGATGCATATAATTCAAGTAACAGAAACCTTGAAGAAAAAAGAAGCCTTTTTTCTTTTAATGGGAAGCCTAAGAGTCCAGCCTAAGAACTAAAATATCTAGCAACATTCAGTTTAACTTTCAGTAAAATCTTTAAAGATTTTAAAGGAGGAAAGATTAGATCAGCAGGGAAGGAAACTGCTAAACAAGTTTTGGAACAGCTTTTAAAATGGAAACCAGATTTCAAAGTGTGCCAAAACATATACTGTATATAAACTGGATGAGGCGTGCAGGATATTATTTGGCGAGGCCTATGTTGTCACAGCTTTGGGTTTCCTCGTTGCAGAAAGAAGAATGAATATCAATTAAAAAGTGATGATCAAAGAGACCACAATTGAACTCCTCCAAAAATAGCAATACTGGTCAGTGTCTCTATTGTGAATTTAACTATTCTTCAGCTTCACTGCTAACTGGAATTTATAGTATATGCCACCTTTGTTTTTCAAATTTTTATTTTCTTTCAAAGCCTGAAAGTCTATATTTAAATACCATGTATGGAAAAAAAAACCCAAACCCTGTCTCAAGGCAGTTTCTTTCAGATCGGAAACCTGGAAAGACATTCAGAAAAACCTAAACTGAAATCAGCATGAATGGCTTGATTTCGATCAGGAGCTAAATATATCTGATCATGATGACCCACACAAAGCTAGAAATGGTGAAGCAGTGAACGTAGCATTTGAGCCATGGGATTTAAGCTATGAGAGCTGCATTGATCTGTTCAGCTATAAAAATAAGTAGGTACCATTGAGCTAGTTATTCTGTCTGACCTACCTTATTTATTGTGTTGCTGGCAGAATTAAAACAAGCATGGTGTGTGGACAACCAATTACCTTGCCTTAAGATTATATATTACTTTTAGAATGGCTAAAATACATAAAGTAATGCTAGAATTGGTGTATCCCTGCTAAATCCCTTAATACTTTTTAGCAGATGTACCATAACGTTCTGGACCAATAGTAGCTTTTGAATTTTCTGCACAGTGGTTTCATATAGAGTGCATTGCAGTGATCTAGCTCTGCAGTGATGACAGGCGCTCAGACTAGAAAGAACTGCAATTGTTATACCAGCTGAAATTGGGCAAAAGCATCCTTGGCCATAGCGTCTATCTGTTCCTCTAGCAAGAGCCTTGAATTCCAGAACACCTGCCTCTATATCTAGGAACCTGCTTCTTCAAGAGAGGTGCAATCTTATTGACAGCCAATGGTAAAACAAGAATTGAGCTACGTAGGTTAATTATTGAAAACAGCAACTCTGTCTTTCTAGGATTTATTTTGAATTTTGGCTCATTCACATTATTATAGCCTCCAGGCATCAGACCAGGATTTTGATTGCAACCGAAATAGCCTGGACATGCAATTATTGTTCAGTATCATTAGCACAAACATTATATTTCACATAAACGGATTCAAAGCCCCCATTGATTAATATAGATGTTAAATAGTACATGAGGAGAACAGAATCCAGACACCTCACATTGGAACAAGTACAGGTATGGTAGTTATATCCCTATGCACAGAAATGGAGATCGTCCACTAAGGAAGGAACAGAAATACTGTGAAACAGTGCTTCCAATCCCCAATCTGGCAAACTGTGATAGATAATTATCAATCTGGTAAGCACGGATCCTATCTACAGGCACGAAGATATACTGTATGCCACAGAGAACCTAGGTTACATCCTCCTTCTCCATAAACTCAAAATAATCCCCAGATAGTCTTCCAAATTGTCATCTGAGTCATCTCACTAAATTCTGCCCAAGAGATATCCAAATCCAAGAAATTTTATCTGTAAAAAAGCTCATAAATCTGTGTCCTATTGGAAGATGTTCCCTGCCTCCTTTTCCAGAAGAAAGTTGGGCATGAGTTGATAAATGTGCAGACATAATAAATATGGAAAAATAAGCATGCTTTGCCATTCTTGTTATCATAGTATATCCTCTTAACTTCATACCTGTGGAGCAGCAGGGTTTGAACATCTATTTCTCCTTTTTAATTTTCTTAGGTACAATATATGGTTTCTTAAACTATTTTCTCAATGTGATTCTACTCTTAGCCTCCACCTCAGCACCAATGATCCTGCACTTGCCCAAAATCAGGAGTGAGAAACTCTGGCCTGTTCTTGACTTATACATCTTTTGTTATACTGCCTGTGTCGGTGAGAAAACATGTGCTATGCATGAAAATGGCTGTCTGTATAGAAGAACTGGTTAGTGTGCACTATGTTTAGAATAAGTGTTTGGATACATTTATCTGTTCTATGTGCATATAAAGGATAATGGGTTGGCCTGCCAGCTTTGTTTTTTATTCCATTATTTTTGTTCTATGGTCCCTGGACTCTGCTTGACTCCTGACATAAGATCCATCCATCCATCCTGAGCAATTCTGACCATTTTAAAATGAAAGTACCACTTCTGTGTTGTATAAATTCAGTAATTGTTATTTGTGAATCATGATTTATGATTTAGCATACAATACAAACCCAGTCAGTTGTGGACTTTTCAATAAATTTGAAATTAAGTAGACATCATGAGTAGACAGTGAAGTATAATAGCTGTACAACAATACAATACCATTGCACTTCACATTCCATATGGGACTGGATAACAGTACTCATGTTTAAAAGTACAGTCACCAAAAAAGAATATGAGGTATTTGTCTAAGACCTTCTGAGGTCAGAACACTGTACCTTCTTTTTAATCCTGGAAGCTATGTTCTCATTCTTCATGCAAGAAGACTTAATAAAGAACTTCATTCATGCTGCTGCACATGATGAAATATGATGAAACAGGTACAGAATAGGTGGTACTTGGCTCAATTGCAGTAACTGCAACAGGGATCTAGTAGTTCTAGTGGACAACTGCTTAAATATGAGCCACCAGTGTGCTGCAGCTCCCAAAAAGGCCAATGCAATCCTAGGCTGCATTAACAGAGGGATGGAATAAAAATCACGTGATGTGCTAATATTACTTTATTATGCCTTCATAAGACCACATTTAGAATATTGCGTCTACTTTTGGTCACCATGATATAAAAAAAGATGTTGAGGCTCTAGAAAGAGTGCAGAGAACAGCAACAAAAGTGATTAAGGGGTCTCCTGCTTGAGCAGGCGGTTGGACTAGAACAGTGATCACCAACCAGTGGGCTGTGGCCCACTGGTGGTCCGTGAGAAAATTTTGATGGGCCACAGTGTGCTGAAGACCAGATGGCTGGCGGGGAGGTGGGGCGATCCTGCAGTCTCCCTAGCAAATCCATGTCGTGGCTGCTGCCTCCTGGCTCAGCCCATCGAGGAGGCCAAGCAGCAGCAGGAAGAGTGTGGACCTCCTGAGACTCAGGAAGCAGCTGCCAGCAGTGCCCTCAGGTGAAGATGAGGGGGAGGCTCGACACCCTCTTCCTCCTCGCCAGAAGCTCACACACCCAGCGGGAAGGAGGAGGCTTGTCAGGTGCCAGAGGGGCGGTGAGCGCTTTGCGTGTGAGCGCTTCTGGCAAGGAGGAAGCAAAGCTCCTAAGGGGAGGGGTTTGAGCCTCCCCCTCGCAACATCTTCACTTGAGGGCATTGCTGGCAGCCGCTCAACCTCCTCGATACGTGGAGGCAGGAGGTGACACCAGTTCTGAGGTTCCTTTCCCCCTGTCCCCACCTTCTCACAGGCCACAATCTGCCACATGTATGAGTCCATCCACTGCCCGTATCACCCCTGTTGCCCCACCTTCCCGCCATCTGGTCTTCAGCACATGGCTTGTTGGCCTCCGGACATCAGAAAGAGGGAGAAAGGCAGAAAGAGAGAGGGGGGGGGGGGGAAGGAGAAAGGGAAAAAGAGAAAGAGAGAAAAAGAAAGGGAGAAAGAGAGGGGGGAGGGAAAGAGAAAGAGAGATGAGAGATCCTGGTGTTTTGTTTTCTGTGGGAAATGGGTCCAAATGACTCTTTGAGTATTTAAGTTTGCAGAAACAGGCAGCCAAGCTAAGTGCCCGAAGGACTCTATCCTGTCAGTGGGAGTCCAGTGCTTCAGCGAGCAGCATTCTGGATTCATATTAGTGGTCTGTGGGATTTAAAATTATGAGTTTGGGGGTCCCTGAGGTCCAAAAGGTTGGCGACCCCTGGACTAGAAGACCTCCCAATCCTTTCCAACTCTGTTATTTTATTATTCTGTTATTCTTTGGAATAATTTTCAAAGCAGGCACAATATGGCCACCAGAAATCATCTACACTGTGTTGTTTAGGTATCAGTCAAGAGGTTTAAATAATTCCATACCAGCTTTGTTGATAGTATCCAAATCTATTCTGTATCTCCTCTAGAATATAGCTCAGCGATGAGATGTAGGTTCAAGAATTAGCTTGATACTCACATTATAATTTTGGTCTAGAGATTTTTTAAACTCACAGCATAACAGGAAATGTGTGTTGATACACACTAGTTTCTCCGTGCCTTTTTGCAGACTACACCCATCTTCTATCTTTAGTCCTTACCATTGCAGAGTTTTAGCTAGCACTTCTCTGACCTAACTTGCATTTCTTTTTTTAATTGTCCAGCCGAATTGAAAATATTAGTGTTGTTACAAAATAGAACAAATTGTATTTTCTGAAACATTGGTAAACAATCCTGGTTAATCAAAAGATAGCATTTTAAAACTTTCCTAGACTGCTTTTAACTTTCAAAGTTTTTCTCAGGTCTACAAAAAAGAAAAGAAAAAAATTATGAAAGCATTCCAAAGGCTAAGTGCACTTTTTTTCTGATTGTCACAACTTAGAAATCTTTAGAAAAAGCTACAGTTTCTGGGTTCCTTAAATTGAACATCTTACTTAGTTAAGAAAATCTGGTGGCTAGTCTGTTGGGGAACCAAACAATAGAAGAACAACATTGTCTCTTGATAGGATCCATATGGATTCCTTTGATTCTTGGAAATTGGTTGTTTACAAGTCTGGGAGAAATTAATCATGTTATAAATGGGGTTTCTGACACATAAAAACCATTTATGCCCAGTGAGCAGAACATAAATGCAAAAGACTTAAACAGCCATCTGATGGGGATTACAGTTATACACAACATTTTATGTACATACCATATATCTGACTGTTTGTATGAGATAGAAGCTACATGATAATACATTGAAGGGTGTGAATGGATGCTATTTATTTCAGCCCTGCAATCATGAATATGCCTGTATGGACAGCACATGTGCAAATGCTATATATACAACTTTTCACCGCTTAAGTTCATCAGTTTTGTTGTTTTTATCCAGTGACCCAGCAATTTGAAACGCTGGAGCGTAGATGGGAGCCACACATTTTACACTCTGTCTCAGAAATGCTCTTTCAAATTATTTGATTTTCTGACATTAACAGCAAAGAACCAGCACTCTGTTTCTCCTTCACCCCGGGAATAAGTAATCCAGCAACATAATAGGCCACATTTTTTTTTGTGGCCAAGGGCCACATGTGGACCTTGTCAGTCATTCATGATTTAAAGGGTTTCTAATAAGATCATAAGCTTCATGAAGTATCTAGACTAGTGTTTTTTGAAAATGTGTAGACATTAATTCCCAGAATTCCACAGCCATTCCCCATACTGGCTGGTGAAATCTGAGAATTGAAACCCACACTTATCCTAAAATTGCCATTGTTGAGAAACTAGTCTATACCCCTGTTGTGTTATTACACTTGATTCATCTTTCAGTGACATGTGACTGTTTTAGATTTTTCCTGCACTGGATATCATCACAGTTTATTTAACCATGTGATATCCATGTTGGCAACTAATATTTGCCACTGACAAGCTGTCCAGATAACAAAAATAATAATCCTATGCTTTGTTTCCTGTTGTACCAGTTGGAGTAGTAGCTCAGGTACAGAAAGTCGACTTTGATTCCTTCCCATCATCCAATCTGTCAACTGCGGACTTAATTCAGACTGCAGTTACACTGGGCTGCCTGTTCTTCTGCTGCAGCAGGAGTCTCAAGGGGACCAACTCTTTCTTGTTTCAACACCACTTAAAAATTAAAAGAAGAAAATCACCTCCTCCTCAGCTCCAGACCTAAGGTTAATTGTTTGGAATCTGTCACTGCCACAGAAGTTAATTAAAGTTATTTGTTGTTACCTTAAAATATGCTGGTTCGGCGTTCCTGCTGGGGCATTGCGGATCTCCAAGAGATTCCTCAGTATCTTCAATTAACCCTGCTGAGCCTGAACTTCCTGTATCGACCCATGTCCCCACTGTTTCCAAAAAGTTCATCACACTTTTGTTTTGTTTTGTTTTTGGCAAAAAGACTTTAAGTGATAAGAAAAAATAAAATAGAATGAACACTTTGTGTCATTGCAATTCTGTCTGGAAGAAAGCGTCATCTGTTGAATTTATTTTGGTTTGAAAGACACAGAAGTCCTGCCAGAAAAAAGAGTGGCTACTGAGTGTTTCCTTTCTCTGGCTGTTCTCCTACCAAGATATTATGATAGCTGTGGGTTACTTGGGATAGCCAGTCAGCCCTGGGCACCAACTGGAAAATGCCTCTACTTCTTGCATTCAACTTTATCATTATCCCTCTGCTATGCTGGCCACCGCACAGGCCAGGATGAACCAGGGAAAACTTTGTTCCTTCATCTTCATTTAAATTAGCTTTCCTCTGGGCGATGGACCAAAGCAAGCATTGCCATAATAACTGTTTTGTCTTAGTTACTCTTAGAGAAGCCTGCAAAGTTTTAATAATACCCAAGAGAGGCTCACTATCCTAATAATGTTTTAAGAAAAAGTGTTGCTCAAACTAAACCAAGGCTTTAGTATATTTTGTTCATTACTAATA